TGTCAAGAGCAAACCTGTTTTTATATCTCGGCCTTGTGAATAAGCTTGCTTAAATTTAACACCAACATAATAGTAACATAACGTGGCTTGCTTTTATATCATTGTTTCTGATGAAAGGGATGCAAAATATTCCATCAAAGTCTACTTTTTAACAAAGCTGCCATGGACAGTCAGGGTAAGATGTTTGTGTTTTTGAAGAGGATGCCGCCTTCTTTTCTTTGATTAGAGATACAAGACAGACAGTGTCAGCACACACTTTGCACAGTTTATTTATTTAGGATTCCGTGAGGTTTCGGTGTGTGTTTCTTCGCTTACTCACAGTTAAGGTGGCCATTTTGTGTGCTGAATTCAAGCTTAGCCTTGTTTGCTAGAACTGGTGACATCACAGAGATTGCCAAAATGCAGCAAATCAAATTCCTCTTGTCTGTATGAGCCAGGAAGAAAGGGTCGGTGTTGTCCATAGCAGCCAATCAGATCCTAGCTACTGTTTCAGAGATGTCAACTTGGGTATATAATTTATAAGGTGAAAAACCATTAAAGGGGCGTGATGTACACAATATAAGGATATGTTGAGCAGACATTGGAAGTTGTAAAGTACACTTGGCCAATAAAAACAGATGGCAAGAATTGCTTTTAGGACAAGAGAAGCAGTACTATGCCCTGGGCATGCAGACATAATAACCATACCTTGGGACTTTTAGAAGTGGCTGAGCCAGATATTACGGGGGCAGGAAGAGAGTCCAACACTGTGGCCATGCACCATGTCTACAACCTTAGCGACACTTTGTTTGGGTTTACATCTCCCCCCTGGCCTGGGTGTAATTCTCAGAATTTGTTATTATCATACTTTGAAACTTGCTGGGTTTGGCAAGGCAAAGTGAGATTTTTATGAAAATGTTTTAAACCTTAGGAACATTAACCCAAACTGCTTTTTACACACAAGAACATATCATGACTCTCTTGCAAAATATGGATCATTGAAAAGAGAGCTGGGTCCAGCATCTGGCGAATCAGAGGATTCAAGGGACATATATATATGTCCTGCAAGGTAAGAGACGTAAAAACCAGGGTGACTCCCTGGATAGTAGATGAATTGACAAGACTAACTAGACTGTTTGTCTAGAGCAGGGGTCTCCAAACTTTCTAAACCAAGGGCCAATTTACTGCCTTTAGACTTTATGGGGGCAGGACTGTGAGCAATGAGAGGAATAGTGTCCTATCTTTGGTATCAGTGGAAGATTAGTGCCTTATCATTGGTGTCAGTGGGAGGAATAGTTCATCATCATTGGTGTCAGTGGGAGGAATAGTGCCTCATCATTGGTGTCAGCGGGAGGAATAGTATCTCATCTTTGATCTCAGTGCCTCATATCAGTGGGAGAAATAGTTTCCAAAGGCAAGCAAAGGGCTGCAACTGGCCCGTTGGCCATAGTTTGGTGACCACTGGTCTAGAGCAAGAAAATAAAGTGTCATTCCATCCAGAAATGTGTTTTAGTTTTAAAGCAGAACTAAAGTTCTGCTATCACAAACTGCAAGCAGGTTCTCTGTATTGCAGAACAGACATGCAGGGGTTTATTTACTAAAGCTGGAGAGTCCAAAATCAGACTCCCTTCTACATAGAAACCAATCAGCTTCCAGGTTTCATTGCCAAAGCTTCATTGAACAAGCTGAGGTTAGAAGCTGATTGGTTTCTATGCAGAAGGGAGTCTGATTTTGGACTCTCCAGCTTTAGTAAATAAACCCCGCAGTGTCTATTCTGCAATAGAATACACTTACCTGCTGGCTCGCTGTCTTTTCCAGCTTGTAAACTGCATGTATATGCCAGGATGATTGACTCCTGTGCATACGCAGGAATCATGTCATCTCACACTGGCCAATAAAGATGACGGAAGACTGGAACCCAAGAGTAGACACTGGAGAGGAATGTGGATCCTTGAAGGAAAGGTAAGTTTAGCTCCACTTTAAGTAGACCAAGTCAACAGTTAGAAGTTTTTATTTCTGTCCATGTCTCCATCGAGGAAGTTTCCTCTCATTTCTTGTCTGGGTGATAATGTTGTTGCTTGGACAGGAAGTGAGGGAAAATCTCCAATGGTACAATAAACACCTTGTGGAGGTTCTAGCATGACCTCACTGTGTTAAAAGTGCAATATTTAAGAAACTTTTTTTTTCTGCCTGCTAGATTTTCCTGGCGACAGTGTCCCCAGCAGGGCTGCAGACATTGGGGGGAAGTGTTTCCCACTAAATCCAAAGTATGTGATTGGTTGCTGTAGACATCCCTTTTCTGTAGTGGTCACACACAAATCCGGATGATGTCAGTAGTTATTAGCGAGTTGATGAGCCTGTAATGAAGTAAGAATTTGTTTAACCTTCAAAATGCTTAACTGTGCTGAAGCGACAGGTGCACTATAAACACATACTGTACACACACGTGGAATGCCGGCAACTGGAATATTTTTTTGCATTCTCTGCATGTTCTCCCACATAGAAACGCACTGTGTTGCTCTGATGACAGCCAAGAAGCATGGGTGAAATGCATCACATCACATTCTGCTTATTGCTCTGCTTTGATCATTTGCAATGTATACACTCTTCAAGGATAAGTCCACCTTTTAAAGTAAATATCAATCAGAAACCAGGAATGTACAAAATAAATCGGCTGAATACATTCAATGAATTTTTAGACTCAATTCTGTCCACGTGTCTGAAGGAAGGCAGTTTGCATTGCTTCATAACATCCAATCAGATTCAAACACTCCAACTGTGTCATGGCCAGTGCAGATTTAAATCAAGGAAGGATTTACAGCCCCATCTGGGCACCAGAACAAAAAATACCTGGAAGTGGCGTCATCCTGCACTGCAAGGATTAAAGTCTCATTAGATCTAGATGTAAACTGTAATACTTACCTTATTCATCATGCTGTAGCCAGAGGTTGTACTGTGATGTCATCACATACAATGCAGGACCAATAGTTCTGCATTGTACATGAGGGATGACAAGGGCCCCCACACAATCTGGAGCATCAAAACCTGCCAGAGCAAGAAATCAGCTATTACAGTGTAATCCTCTATTCAGGGGTGGACTGACAACTCATGGGGCACCCGGGCAATAGGGGATCATGGGGCCCCTGTGTCCTCACCCACAGCCAAAAAAAGCCTATGAAAAAGCCAATTAAAGGTACCAGGGGCATGTCATGGCGCCCCCTACTGACCCTGGGCCCTCGGGCAGTGCCCGAGTGGCAAAATGGTCAGTCCGCCCCTGCTTCTGTCCCTAGACCCCTAAAGCAGGGGTCTCCAAATGTTCTAAACAATGGGCCAGTTTATTTTCTTCTAAATTTTAGGGGGGCCAAACTGTGGCCAGTGGGAGGAGAAAATGTCCTGGCGTCAGTGGGAATAAATAGTGCCCCATCTTTGGTATTGGAGGGGATAGTACCCCATCATTGGTGTTAGTGGAAGGAATAGTGACCCATCGTTAGTGTCAGTGGGAGGAATAGTGCCCTATCTTTGGTGTCAGTGGAAGTTATAATGCTTTATTGGTGTTAGTGGGAGGAATAGTGCCCCATCGTTGGTGTCAGTGGGAGGAATAGTGCCCTATCTTTGGTGTCAGTGGAAGTTATAATGCTTTATTGTTGGTGTTAGTGGGAGGAATAGTGCCCCATCGTTGGTGTCAGTTTGAGGAATAGCGTCATCATTGTTTTCTGAGGGAGGAATACCGCCCTATCCTTGGTGTCAATGGGAGGAATTGTGCCCCATCTTGGTGTCATTGGGAGGAATAGTGCTCCATTGTTGGTGCCAGAGGCAGGAATTATTCCCCATCGTTGGTATCAATGGGAGGAATAGTGCCCCAAGGGCTGGATAAAATCAAGCAAAGGACCACATCTGGCCCCCATGCGGCAGTTTAGAGAGTTTGCCCTAGAGCATTAAACCCTTGCAGTGCAGGGAAGTGGCATGCCAAGGGTATTCTATGGGAATGCAAAACGTGATTAAAGCAGTTCAAATACAGGTCATAAGGAGGTCAAACGCATTGATTGCCTGAATTCTGAATGATCTCAGAAGGTTCTCAATCTGGTGTAAAACTGATGTCATCCACACAAGCCCAAAGCCTATTAGCACAGCCCCTATAAAACGTGCTGTAGTAGAACCCGTGTCTAAACCCATGGTTTACATTACGCATTGTTTACATACATTGATAAATAAGGCCAGACTTTGGGTCTGAGATCAGTGGTATTAATTGTGTGTATTTCCTGACAGCCACCAATCACATCCATGTATTTCCCAGGAAATGAACTTTGAATCTGATTGGTGGAGGTAGAACTTTACAGGCTGCAGTCACTTCAGTAATGTCTTCTCTGTCATTTCAGACCAAGGACAATATTTAGCAGGCACAAAGGAGGACTTATGCTTTAAGAATATTCACAACTACTTTGAATGTGCTTCACATTGTCTGCAAACAAAAATGCATGGTGAAATTATACAAAATTCAGGATTACACTGTTTATAATTCATCATTTTATATAGTGAGGGTCATACAGGATTTTTTTTCCAGCTGGGATTTAATGCTGAAGTCCTATCAGGAGCTTCTAAAACTGTTTCATTACCTCCTATCATTTGTTTTCTGATATCTTCATGGCTTATGTGTGTGTTGCCCTGGAGGAAACCAGTAAATTCCTTTTATTTCCTGTCCCACTGTCACCAGAACAGGAAGGGAGGTAAATCTTCCCAGCAGGTCATTGGCCTGGAACAAGTCATGACGTTTTTAGCTTCTATTCTGTTATTTCCAGCTGGACATAGAACATGGAAAGCAAGTGTTCTCTATAGACCATGCCTCAAGACCATTGTAATGTGACAAGTGATGACATCTGCCCAGGTTGGAACTGGCACCATCTAATGTTCCTACAACCATGCCATGTTCCTGTGCACCATCGTTTAGAACCTACCTTGGGAGGATTGTAGTTTTTTTTTTTACCACCTCCTATGTCATGTTTTTTCTGTGTTTGTTGTTACAGAACATTGTCTCCTGCCAAGTCTCCATCATCATCTACTGGTTCCATTGCCTCTAGCAGGAAATATCCGTATCCCATGCCACCACTTCCTGACGAGGAGAAGAAGCCCAGCAGACAGAGTGCACGGGTAGGGACTGTGGGAACTTGTCTTAGGGCTGTATTGGACATGTATTTATACAACTAAAGATGGGTTAGACACCCCGTCAGACCTTATTGCTGTCTGTGCCACAGTTAGGGAGATTCGTCCTCACTTTTATTTATTTCTGTATTACGGGTACTTATATAGTGCCGTCAATTTACGCAGTGTTTACATACATATATATTATATTACATATATATTGTACATTCACATCAGTCCCTAAACCCTCAATGAGTGTACAATCTCACTTTTTTTTCTGTTTACCATTATTATTGAAAGTGAAAGTAAAAGACATTTTGGGTTGTCCCCAGAAAAGTAATCAAGGGGAAATCTGCCAATGAGAACACTAGTTCTGGTGACCTGGGGGTCCCCAAAGGAATCCCTTAATTTGCATGGATTTCCTCTCACTTCCGGTTGTGTCTATGGGACAAGAAGTGAAGGGAAATCTCCCCAATGGGACACAGAAGGCAAAAAATAAACTGACAGTTGTTATCACCCTCCCTTGCTCTATCCAAAACAAAAAAAAAAAAGTTTTGCCTATAGTTCTACTTCAAATCCTACCTTACCTGACGGTAGAGGTATGGAGGGTGCTATAAAAAATGTTGTCTAGCTGTCTTTGGCTGCAGAATCTGAGCAATGTCAGAACGTCTGTACTGGGTCAGTAACTCTTGAAGCCTTTGGATTACTAAGATAGATAGCATTCTCATACAAAGTCAGCAATGACAGTCTCCCAATTCTGCCAGTACAGGTTTCCGGAATCGTTGGACAATAAAATATTGAGTGTTATGTAGGAGTAGCCTGGTATTTTGCAGGCCTGTCATATGCAGGCAATACCTTTCTCTCCACTGTACAGTGAGCCCTTAAAGTGTATCCAAATCAAAGAAAAAAATGTAATATATTGCAAATTTCCAGCCCGTAGATGTGGTGGTGGCTGAATTTGTTTCCTTTGTTTTAGGTTGTTTTCCTTTATTTTAACCTGATTATTCAGCCAGTAACACACTGTCTGTCTTAGATTGACAACTACTCACTTGTACTGTGTCTGAGGAATAGCAATGTTGCTTTCCTAGGACAGAAAGTGTAGTAGAACTACAGAAGGCCTCTCCTTTTTTCCATAACATGGTTGGAGTTGCTCTGTATAGAATGTCTAACAATGCTAAATGATAACAGTCAGCAGAGGTAGAGAGTAAAGGAAGTTCTTACTGGTTTTCTGGAAGATATTTCTTCAAGTAATTAAACAGATAAAACAACATACTTTCAGTGTTATATTTAAATGACCAAATTAAATTTAAAAAGTTTATTGCTAGACCTTGTTCACATAGGGATTGCTATAGTGTACTCTCGTGCAGGGCTGTGTTTACCTGCACAGGGATGCATAGGTGTTCTGTGTTTCCCCGCAGTCCCATTTAAGTCATTACAGTGATATTAAAGGTTCACATATTTTTTTTAAATACGTAACATGTCATACTTACCTGCTATGTGCATTGGTTTTGCACTGAGCACCCCCGATCCTCTTATTCTCAGGTCCCCCATTGGTGCTCCTGACCCTCCCCCTTGACTAGTGCCCCAATAACAAACTGCTTACTATGGGGGCACTGGTGCGTGCTCACTCTCGAGCCCCACTGTGTGTCCATAAGACACATAGGGGTTTATTTACTAAAGCTGGAGAGTCCAAAATCAGACTCCCTTCTGCATAGAAACCAATCAGCTTCTAACCTCAGCTTGTTCAATGAAGCTTTGGCAATGAAACCTGGAAGCTGATTGGTTTCTATGCAGAAGGGAGTCTGATTTTGGACTCTCCAGCTTTAGTAAATAAACCCCAATGTGTCACGGCTCAGCCCTGTCCCCCAATCTCTCCCTTATTGGCTCACTGGCTGTGATTGAAAGCAGTGGGAGCCAATGTCTCAGCCAATGAGGAGAGAGAAACCTGGGACAGCCAAGGCTATGGTGCACATCGATTGAGGGGGGCTCAGGTGGGTATTGAGGGGGGGGCTCAGGTGGGTATTGAGGGGGGGGGGCGCAGGGTGAGCAGCACACAGAGGGTTTAATGCATGAAGGTAAAAAAACCTCCAGCCTTTACAATCACTTTATAGAGACAGTATCTAACCAGCCCTAAAATATTAGCAATGAGTTCAGGGGCAGACAAACATGTGCATAAAGTTTTTCTGGGACCAAGACTACATGTGGGTTAGGAGGGTGCTGGCTCTCCCCTCTGCTACCACATAGACAGCACTCCACGTGGGCAAATGAGAAGCAGAGGCATGCCTCATTATACCCTAACCATGCTCCTGTCTTTTGTAAGATCTAATGGGTGCCAAGCAGGAACATTCCTTTACTACCTGCCTAACCAGCACTGAGAAATGAAGAATGCTTTTTCCATACCACTTGACACCATTGTGAGTGGGGGGGGGGTCACTGGATTGATTTCAGGTGCAAATTATTAAACATGAAAGTGTTCATGATATGACAAGGCTAACTGTCTATTTCTACTCAGTGAATAAGTGCTTTTGAATGGGGGGGGGTAGGTAAACATTATTTAGGGCTCGTTGGTTACTTTGTCCACAAATGATTAGGTGAACAGATGCCTTAAAGAGGCTCTGCTCATTCAGTGCAAATGACACTTTCTGTTACTATCCCACCCCTATCACTTACTATGCTCCGCTGTTCCATTCATCAGCCATTGCCCTGGGTCTAATCCCTGTGTAAGCTTCTTATCGGTCTGTGTCTGAGCTCACACAGGGTTACCGACCTCCCCACCCTGACGTGACAGTGTTTAAACTTGGCGGTTGGGCACTGAGTACTTCTGGGTATGGGGGATGTCATGATCAGGCCTAAGTATTGCCAAGGTCTCCATCAGATAAACGGAGCAGCAGGTTAGTGAGTTTTAATGGGTGGTGGAGCCAGTATCAGTGAGTGGGAGGTTGGCTTTTAAAAAAGAACCTGTTGCTTTGCCTTCATCTTTAATTCTATTTCTTTTTGTTGACAACATAATTATATCGCATTTGAATAAATTGTGACCCCCACTTTTTTATATTGACAGCTCTGGGAAACATCAATCTAGGTAAAGCATCAATCTTCATCATGGGACATCGGCTTCAGATTGCTGGACTGAGAGTCAGTGCTCACCCATCATCCAGTAATAAAGGACCAGGAATCATTGCTGTTTACAGAGACCTCCGCCTTTACAAAGAGGCTCCTGACACTTATTTACATTTACCCCCCCTTCCCGAGGACTAAAGGAAGCCCCAAAATTTTCAGTTTGTAAAAAAAAATCAACCTCAATGGACTCTGCAAGGAGAGAAGTCTTATGCATGACTGAATTTTTAACGTCAGGTATAAAATCACTTACTCTGTAGACCAGAAGTCTAAATTTATGACATTAAGCAGCCATTGTATAGTGGGAGGTTCGGGCGGCCATGTTGTTTTCCATGCACAAGGCCACTGAGGTCAGTTGTGTTGGATGCATGCACATAAATCACCACTTGCGAATAGATACATTGTATTGTAATGAAGCATGGAACCATATTTTATTTTCTAAAAAAGCCAAATTTCAAAATCTATTATTTTGCCTAAATTAGATCCTTTAAAGACGTACACACATATTTTGTACATATGTACATTTTAAACTGTAAAAAGAAATATAAGTATAGTACATTATTTTGTCAAACGCTTAATGAAACGTGAGCACACTGTAAGTTTTACACCTGATTGGTCTAGAGAAGCATAATGCAATTAAAGAAACAGAGCACCAGTAATGTAGAGAAGGCTCAGGCAACCTATAGACCTAGCATAGGACAGCGGTCCCTAACAAGTTGCTTGGAAGCCACCTGTAGTTCTCAGTTATCTATAATGGTAGGGGTTCAGTGCCTATGTGTTGACCACAAAGCTGTATTGTATGCATTCAGTATGCTTGAAAGAAGAGGATGGCTAAATGATATTATTTAAAGTTGAAGCTCCAGTTTTATTGAAAAAAAGCAGTGACCCACAGAAGAACTATTTTGCAAGGATTTTAGCAATGTTAATTGCAGATCCTGCACTTTCTAAAACTGAATACTAAGCATGATCACTCTCAGTCAGGGGCGTACTGACAAATCATGGGGCCCCCGGGCAATAGGGGATAATGGGGCCCGTGTCCTCACCCACACTCAAATCACACCAAAAAGAAGCCTATGAAAGGTACCAGGGGCATCTCATGGGGCCCCCTACTGACCCTGGGCCCTTGGGCAGTGCCCGAGCACCCGAATTGGCCAGTCTGCCCCTGCTCTGAGTACAGTAGTAAGAAAAGTCACACTCACCAAAAAAATGGAATTTCCCTTTACTTAATTTGCTTTGAGTTTATGTACATGGACTTTAGGGGGTAATTCATATTTGCGAATGCACATTGCTTTCGATTAAATGCAAGAATCCTAGCAGGGGGTCCCGCAATTACCTGTGAGAGGCAGCCCCATTGAATGAAATGGGAGGCTGCTAGCTCCCACAGCTAATTGCGCCAACGTCTGCGTCCAAGGCCAATCATTCACATGCAATTGCTGCATGAGAAATTACCTGAAAGTGGGCACGGTTAGCAGTGATAGCCAGCAGCTTCCTATTGCTTTCATTAGGGCTGTCTCCTACCCTAGAACCCCCACTGGAGTGATCGCATATAATCAGAGGCAGGGTGCATTTGCAGGTGTGAATGTACCCTAAATGTTAAAGCAGCTGAACACAAGACAACACAGCACAGAGGCATGCACTGCTCCAGCTCTAGAGTGCTTTTCTGAGACATGAGGTCCCTTTGTGAGCAAGGGTAGAGGGCCTTTCGGCATACCTCCGTTGGATGCCAAAATGTAGGATGACACCCAGAGATGTACCCTGGGGCAGGTTCTTCTGGGCTATTCTAGGCACCGTGGATGGGGTCACTTACCATGCACATGGGTTCCTTTTACTGTGTTGTGCTTATCAGTGCCTTGGGACAAAGCATCCCCTTTCAGGGAGATTCAACCTTGAGGCAGTCCTCCAGCTTAGAGATGGCTGGCAGTACACCATGTACACTGTGCAAAAAAATGGATTCCAGTTAACTCTCTGGTCCAATGCACACTTTGACTGCAACTGTTGCATTTAGGAGGGACATGCTGTGCCTATGTCCACTCCACCTGCCTGGTGTACCTCTGTCACCTCACTCTCAGTAACAGAATGGGGTCCCGCCATGCACCTGTCAATGAGACCTCAAGCGTGCACTTTAGTTAACCCTTCCTCTTCTGTACCTAGCAGCCATGCCGAGGACCTCTGCGGCACTGATCTGCTTCCGTTTCTATGGGAGCAGGAGTGCTTGGAAAGGGGGCCCATAAGCAACCGCTTCTCTGCTGGAGGAAACCCCACCTATTATGATTCACGACATGCTGCTTGTACTGGTTACCAGGCTTCAGTTACCCTTGGCAACTACTTGCTGTACTCTGCACCATGTTAACTCTTGCAGGGCTCTTTTCATGCCCCAATGTGCTTTACTGATCCTGGCTTAAGACTTTGTGTCTAGTGCCGGCTACTTTTATACACCCCTTTAAATAACTTCAGACCAGACAGAACAATGCTTCAAAGCATTGCTGTAAAAACTTAACAGGCAACTAACTGAACCTAACTGTGGCTGCCCCAGCAGGAGCCCATCCTAGGTAGAGTGTATAGTGGAGGAATCCAGATGCTGGTGTCTTCAGTGTCCGACTTGGCCAAAGCAGAGAACATGCAAGCCCTGAGCACACAACAGCGGCAGCCTCCTGGGATACAGATCCCCATTCCCTTTCATAGTGCCACAGGACCAGTGGGTCGGACCCAAAAAGCCCACCAAGAAATCCCGAGAGTGGTGACAAAAGAATTAACCCTTTCCCTCCTGCTAGGGCAACCATACTAGCTGACTACTGTAGGAAACCTGCCTACACCTCTGTATTGCTTTAGTTTAAACATGCCTCAAAAGCTTGGCCAAAGTAGTTGAAAGCTAAAGCAGGTGTGTGTTTTTGTTGTTGCATTGCTGTGCACTGCTTGAAGCTGCTTTAGCATTTGAAGGCTGTGTACATAAACTGCTAACTGTACCATTAAAGCTAGATGCACTTCCACTTCAGCATTCCTCTTACCTTGCCGCATGCTTTGTTGTATACGACAAAGAAGCCAGCAGGGAAGCCGCCTTCCTTCATAGTGCCTGAAGTATGTGGGTGAAGCTGAGAAGTTAGAGTCTTGCAGAGGTATAAATAATATTTGGATGGAATGACCCTTTACAAAGCTAGGACTTATTTGTGTGGCCTCTGTTACTTGTCATTTGGCTCACAAGCTGACTGATGTTGGGGACTTATGGTCTAGCTGTTTCTGTATGTTGGGGTGGCTAGTTCCTGCTAGACTTCATGTAAATGTATGCGGTTATGTGGCCATCACTCAAATGCATTCCCTATGAAGTGCAGCAAGCAGCTTTCAATATTCTTAAACAAAATGTAATACATCTCTAAGGAAACCATATATTAGTATACTTTGTGAATCTTCTGCTGAGTTGGATAGCTCCGTCTGCCTACAGACCTGAGATAGCAGTATGTAAATACTAGAGTATAATCATGCAACCAAGAAATGTGAAACAGGCACAATCGCTTTGGCTGAACATGTTTATGTGATACCCATACAGTCCCTAGCACCTTATCTTAGTGATCACAAACAAAAATCACATTGGGTTGCTGATTTTGTCCTTCCAAGACCAGGGCAGGAGGCACATAGCCATATGACCATTTCCTTATCCAACTGTTACTGATTTGTGTGAAAACACTGAACACCATTTCCAAAATGCAGGAAAGACGAAGAGCCTGTGGGCAAAATAATAAATATATCCAAGGTCTGTCACAAGACTTCCACTAATGCAAGCAGGGCTCTTGTACTGGAGCCTGTAAGGCTAGGGGGAACTGATTGACCTAAATCCAATAGATCAAGGCATCAGGCACTAACCAGGTCCAACTCACATCCTGGTTTATAGTGCTGTGATAAAGTGCTTTGTTGTACACTGTACAATTTACTCAATTCTACCAATTTATAAGCCTTTGGTCCGGCACATCTTGAGTATGCCACCCAGTTCTGGTCATCAGTCCTCAGGAAGGATGTGCTGAAAGTGGTGAGTCTAGTGAAGGGGAACAAAGCTAATGAGGGAGTTGGAGGACCTCAGCTATGAGGTTTGTATTATTACAAACACTAAACTTATTCTCTCTGGAGAAGAGGCGCTTAAGAGGGGATAGGATCACAATATATAAATCTTTCAATGTGGACAGTATCATTATGAGAAATCTATTTAATGTATGCTCTCTAAAGACACACGGCCTCACAATGAATCTGGATGAGAAGTGGTTTGATCCTAAACTGCGTAAAGTGTTCTTTACTATTAGATCTGTAAGGATGTGGAACTTCCTTCCATAGTTGGTGGTGTCAGCAGGGAGTTGGGATAAAAAAAAAAACAACTTTTAGATGTGTTTGTTAGTCAACACAATGTACAGGGATATTGAAAATGGTAGTGACATAAATTCATACACAGGTTGAACTGGCTGGACTGGTGTCTTTATTCAACCTTACCACCTATGTAACTACAATGGGCATCATTTGCTGTAACCCAGTTATACTGTATATAAAATAAGACATTGTGAGCCTGTGCCTAGAGCAGCAGGTCCCAAGAGTGGGTCTCCCTAATCCTCTAAATTTCCAAATTGTGAATTCCTTAGTTTGACTAATCATGAGCACTGTTGGGGGAAGTGGTTGCAGGGGATGATCTCTCCTTTATCTTGTTTGGTGGCCTATAGAGTTAAAAAGTAGTTATGAAAATAAAACAGACAGTGTGCTGCCTTCAATAGCAGATTATATTCTTAATTTTCCTATATTAATGTCATAACAGGCCAGAGCTTGTACAAATTTGTAGTTGCACTGCTGATGGAAAGTTGCACATTACCTACCAGTGCCAATTCTGGTGGATGAGAACCAGACTGGAGAGGAGGGTAGAGGTTCTACTTCTGCGCTGGGATGCCACTGTTTTATGCTTAAAGCAGAGTTCCACCTAAAAAAGAAATAAATAAA